CTACTGCCTAAGGGGAGGATAACTTGGCCTTTATTGAGCCATAAGCAAGGATTGTGGGATTGTTCAGATTTTCGCTAACAGAAGAACATTTCATTAAGTTTAGGGCAATTTCTGTTTAGGAAAACACTTGTGAATTCCTCTTAAAAAAATGATACAAAATGCAGTATTTTATTTTTCCTTTTAAAAAACTCAAGCCTGTCTAATAAGTATAGTAAATAAATTTGTGAAAATATACTATTTCTTCACTGTAGAAACTTAGTAAAAATCTGGACGGTACATGTGAGGCTTTGCTAATAAGAAGCACTAGTGTGCATTCCAAGAGTGTCTTATCCTATTGAGCAGGCAGTACTGAAATTTTCTGCTGTTTCTGAAATGTGAAATCAACTTGTACTTAATCAGACCCAGCAACTACCCAACGCCTCCACTAATTTTCTGATTTCTGCCGTTCCCAGGTCTTTGTCAGCAGAAGCTGGCAGAAAATTGAACATATTTGCTGGCTCTATAATTTTAAATGACAATTATTTTTTGCTGTTCTTTCCTCTTCCCTTCCCCACTTTCTTCTTTTCCCTGTTTTTTTAGCACTTGAGAGCTCAATACTGTCATTACAGTACTTAGTGTTTGAATCTTTCTACAGAACTTCATTCATTTATGACTTTTATGATCTTTTAAAATGCATCAGAAGATTTACAGTCTGAGAAGACAAGTTAATTTTAAATTCAGAATTTGGGTAGAAAAGCATGTATAACTTGCAGGTGTCTAAATTGATGAACATTCCCCTGAATAGACATGCAGCATCTCACTTGGGCCTAGAACAGGTCAGGTCACTTGCTCAGGTATTTCAAACATTGTGTCAAGATGTAGCTGTCAAAGGCGAGTGCGTGGTTACTGCTCCACACAGCAGTTTTCCAGCTTAGCCCTAAGGGCTTGATACTGCTTTCAGGAATACAATATTGCATAGCTGTGATTAGAGCCAATTTATATATTCTCATCATTTACTGCAATAGTTCTTTTTCCCTTAACACAACTACTCCATGAGAAGTCAGCCCTCAGTGTTCTCATTACAGATGATGTGCAAAGAAAGCAGAGCTGACTTACCGATTGACCTGTTGGAGCAAGCGATAAGGTAATCAGTATTCATGCTGAGAAAAGTTCTAAAATCCTTCCTCTTAGGAGCACCTCTCACGAGCGAGCAAGCCATCTTCCTAAACACAGGTAGTGACTTGGATGTCTAGGTATTCTGCTGAGATACACCGGGGTTATTTGGAAATGGAGCCATAGAACCAGAGCTACAGCTGTAAAATATAAATGAGCATTCAGAAACTTTTCATATATATTCTTTATTAACAGCCAATTATACGCTATCTAACGTTCACACCTAACTTAGGTAGGTATATTTGGATTTAATAACTATCTTTTATCCTGTAAAAAAAGGTAATCTAAAGAGGCATTGTGGTTTAAAAAGATGTTTTGTTAGCTATGTATTAAATGAGAGACAGCAAGAGCATGGTATGTGGTGGTTCTGGGTTTCATAAACATGGTACTCAAGTAATAGTTTATTTTTGAAAACTCATGCTGACTCATTCTGTATTATTTGTATTCATTTCTGACATTTAATTTTTCTATTTTTCTGTTTATGGTACCGCTCCGTAGATCCAGGTTAACACTTTTTAAGACGATGGTCTTTGTGCTAGATTTTGGAGTCATGAATGGTGCAAAGTGTTTTGAGCCACATTATTTGACTCAATTATTAAGTCTAAATAGGGCGATTAATTTGTCAAGCCAGACAAAATGGGTCCTAGCATAAATGAAGTCTGATAAGTTTTTGGTGGTTTTGTTCCCCAGCATTAGCCTGCCATCACTGAACGCAAAGGCAAAAATATTATTCAGTGTAATTGAGGAAGCGTATATGAAATTATATATAAACCTTCTACTCTATATGTTCCTGTGCCCTAGAACACCTGGTTTCTAATCTACAAGTAATTGTTATCGTAACGCTTCTGTAGACCTTTGTCTAAAATTATCTGAACAGAGTTTATACTGCTAGAGGGTAAGTAGATAGCCCTGGGGCAGGATTAATCTGGTACACAGACAGATGTGCTCTGGGCACCTAAAGTGCAATTCCAGTTCCTAATTTCAAGTGCCCAGCACCAGCTGAGGCACCTCGGGCATGCTGCGGGGCCAGCAGCTCTTGGCTCATCTTAGACCTTCTGCACACTGTGTCACATCTGCTGGGTTGATGGTGATGTCGTGGTTATTCTAGCATGTCTCAGAAGGCACTTTAATTTAACACCTAAATTAAGCTGTTGAACCCTTTTACCCCAACTCTGAAAAGCATCTCATTTCAAGATGGCTCTTACATTTTAGCTATTTAACCTAATTCTACTTAAGTGTGCGCGTGACGTTAAGTATGTAATTAAGATGTGCTTAGTATTCTGTAATGAATTTGTACTTCCCTGTCTTGTTTCTTTTACCTTCATATTCTGTGGATAAGATTAAACCTCTAATGGTAGGTGCAGGAGGAGGGCCCCCTCCCTTGCACAGACACCATGTGGCAGGCCATACTTACCAGAATGCTGATCTAGCGTTGGAAGCAGCAGTGTCCCACCTTTGGGGAGCAATTTCTGCTGCCTCTTGTTACTCAGAGTAGACCTGTGGGGAGGGGGTATACCACTCAGGTATGATGGATCAGCTTGGGCACTGAAGATTGGAAGACAAGATGGGCTGACTGCCCTCTCTTTGACTTTTGCAGTAGCAGTTGTTTTCCCATGTGTTGTTATGACAGTGAACAGAAGATAGGTTTCCTCAAGTGCTGTTATTCCTATAAGAACATCAGGACTTGAGATGTACAATGTAAAGCTGTTATAAAGCCCAGCATAGTCATCTGCTGCTCGAGATAGCTTGCAAAAAGTAAGTTCAATAGTGTCTATAAACATGCTCTTTCATTTTTCACTCTCTACTTCTCCTAGGGATGGAGGGTGTTCATCATTTTGCATACATCAATGCAAGTGCAATTCAACATAGTACTGACATATAGTCTAATTGGCTTTAAAATGGAATTTTGGTTTTTGAGTGCTAATTTTCAGGTAATGACTTTCTAATTGATTTTTTTTTTTTTTAATGAAGGACCATTGATTCATTCCCTTCAATGAAACTCTGTTGGTTTCTCAAAAGAATTTATGAAAAGCTGCTGAAAACAAGGATCTATCACTGCTGCTTTCTTTGCACCTTGCTTTGCTCTCTGTTCTGTCTAATATATATTCTTTTTGTCCTTCCTTGAGCCAGATTAGTGTAACAAGGCTAAACAATTGTATTGTGTACATATATATATGAGTGTGAAATGGTCTCTTTGGAAAAAAAAAATACATCTTTATTGAAAGGTGGATTGAACTTTGGTGACATTGTTCTTTAAAATTAGATATTCTCCATGGCCTCTGGTATATTAATATGACAGCTATTTAACATTTGTACCAGGGTTATTCCAAATAATCAGTTTGGATTGCACAGGGATCATCTGAACAGATGTTATTTCACAAAAAGAGGAGTGACAGTTTTGAAATGGAAGTATGAGCTATTGTCTTATCATGTTGCCTGTGTCATTAAGTCATAGATGAGTTTATATGAAGCACAGTGGAGACTGCCTGAAAGTTTTCTGTTACAGTACAATATAGCAATCACAGCTAGATATTAATCCATGTGAGTGACAATTAGAAAACTTTTGGTGATCCTATTTAAGAAGGGATTGAACCTTGATGTTTGACACAGTGTGACACAGCAAAAGAATTAGTTTTTTTTAAAAAAAAAAGTATGGAAACATACGCTGTTATTTTAATCTGATTTTACACATCCATCAGTGGGGGGGTGGGGCGGGAGGTAGGCTAGTGTCTTTAAAAGAAAGCCTGTACAGATTTTGCAAACCAGATCATGTCATTTTGCAAGCAGTTCCAGACAAATTACTGGTTTTTCTTAATTACCCGATTATTTTGATGTCACAGAAGTATAGCCAGTGCTTTCTCATCTTAATTTGCCAGGTTCTTGTGAAGGAGAGGTTATCCATGATAGTGAACATTTTGTTCTGTGATACAGAACAGAAATTGTAATGAAATCCAGTGACTGGATGAACAAACCAGACAAAGCCCAAGTGGAAATACTGTGTATTTTTAACGCTGAATATAATTAACCATTGGAAGAGCTTCATTAGGGGTTTGATAGTTTTGATTTTCCATTGCTTTCAGATTTTAAACCAAGACTGAATAACCTTATGAATGTTGCACTATAGCCCAGACTGAGATTTCATTGATTGAACTATTGGATGGGAGTCGATATTCTGCGTCAACTGAACTCCAGACTAAATTATAGTAATGCTCCCTTCTGGCTGTGAAAGTCAGTGATTCTCTGTCATTTGATTTCTTTCTTTTTTTTTTTTTTAGGTGATCAGAGATGTAAAAACAGTGCATGGATTGTTTTGGGTTTTTTTTTTTTTTTTAAAGGATCAGTGCATAAATAATAGCTAATTAATTCTCAGCAAACACTTCTGAGAGCATTACATTATCTCTGTTTTACAGAGAATGAGTTTCAGAGACATTGGGCTCTTAGTCTAAGTCACACCGTAAGTAAGCAACAAAGCACAACTGCCAGATTCCTGGCCGCTGTGCTTGTACTGTTACAAGTAATTACAGAGCTTTATCAAATGGCTGTAAAGATGTTTCCTGCAGGTGCCTCTTACAATTCCTGTAGAGAAACAGAGGAACATTATGATAGCCTCTTCCTTCTGAGGAGCTCCAAATTTGTTCTGAGCACTTGAAAGCATGTTTTCAAAACACTCTCAAGTGGTAACTGAATTAGTCTAGAAGGCAGGGAAGGTGAGAGATAGGGAGATCCTGGTTTCTTTGCCTTTCCTCTTCTCCTTCCTAAAAATAACCAGAAAGAAAAAGTGTTTCTGGTTTCTTTCATATTAGTTGTAGAGAAAAGGATATACTAGACTAATAAATATCAGCAAGATGATGGCGTCTTCAGTACGAAAGCCAGTGATGCCAACACCTGCCATTACTGGAAAACAGCAATGTCGGTGTGAAATTTTGGTGGAAAAGAGAATGTGCAGGAAGATTTACTGTCTATCTGCCAGCCTTTTCCTGATCAGTTTTGGCCTTCCCATGGGAACAGAACCGTACTCCACCTTTCCCATTCTGCTGGAAATTGTTGTCATGGGTGAGTAAATCATGTGAGGTGAATATTGAATATTGGACCTCAGCAATAAAGATCTTTGTACATCAGAATTTCTACCTTCTGTGTCTACAGGAGCAGTCAAATGCATGAGTCTGTCAATGGCGCAGGCATTACTCTGTTGACCTTCAACCCTCCTTTCATTCAGTGGCTGTGGAAGCCCTCAGCCCTGCTTAGTGACAGCCTCAAGAGACTGTGATGAAGTCACACTAAACTCAGAATGTCACTGCCTCCATGGTCAGGGCAGCATGTGTCCTGGCTGCCAAAAATAAATAAACCAGAATACCCAAGTCAGATAAAATTGTCCATGCTGTGTGAGGAAAAACAATGACTTGCATGCAGCTAGTGATCAATTCTCTAAATGTTCAGTCCCCTAAGATTTATAAGTTAAAATTAAATTTAGGAAGTTTCTCTGCAAACAAATTAGGACATTAAATCACTTTACTATTCATTTTATGAATTGTAAGGAAAAGAAGTGGACAGGTGATCAAAATTTTAAAATCATTCCCTCTTCCAATTATTGTTTTCAAAATAGATCCACCATTGATGATTATTAAACAAGTGTTTATATATTGGGAATTCCTCCTGTTTAGATGCTAACAGCTACTTGCGGGCATTTGACCCAAAAGATGGCTATACAGTCACTTTCAGAATAGTACTTGATGTGAATCTGAATGAAACAACATTATAGGGATGTATCAGAGGCATATCATCTCTATCAAAGGGAAAAATATAACTCCTGAAAGAATACAGTGGGAAAAGAGGTAATGGAATGGAATCGGGCTATTTACTTTATATCAAAAATAGTACCTTCAGTATCTCTTATTCTATTCTGGTCTCTTTTGTTAAGACATTTAACAGTTTAGCAGGGTTTCCAATGAGAGATTACTTCTTACTCTAAACTTCTGATACGGATATTGGGCACTTTCGGCTTGAAGGCGGAGTTGCCATTTCAAATTGTAAGAATGGACTTAGAGACACAAGTATTCTGCAGTCCTTCCAAAATCTTTCTGTCATTTTTGTCTTAGCAGACAAAATAATTTAAAAAAATCAGGAGTTAACTGAAAGAAATCCCTGAAGAAAGAGGTAATTTGTAATAATTCAGATATTTCTCTGAACATTCCTTTATAAAATATCCTTCTGGCTTTTTGGTATCATTTCAAAAGGCCAAGTGGTTAAAACTGTCCTTATTTCCCTAGAAAGGCAAGCAGGTTTCAGATGCAAGTCGAAGGACAGGCAGGCATGTTTGAAGACTGTCACATATTGTAATTCTGCCTTTGGGGATTTCTTAGTAATATTCCTTTGATCAGCTTGAAAGGATTACTCTAAAGAGTCCTACTCCAGGTATTCTTACTGAGATAGGAATTTCACTTTTGCTTGCAGTTTCTCTTGGCTCTAAATGCAGAAAGTCCTCTTTTAACCCTTTAGTTTTAGAAAGGATCCATATGCTTTGCATTGGTGTCTCCCATATTCATATTTTGTTTATATTTTTTTGCTCGTATCCTGGGCCACAGAGCAAAAGGTTCTAAACCTGTGCTCCTTCTTCAAGAAGATCGTGACTTAAGGCAGTGATTTTTAGAGTATGGGCTCTGCCTAGGGCAAATAGTAGAAAAGGAAAGGAAAATGGCTAGAGATTTCCTTTATCCTAGTTATCATTAGAAACTGCACTAACCTTTGTAGTTCTTGATTTTAGTGCGTGTAAAGTATTTTAGATAAGTTATTTTTATTTTCTTTCCTCTTTACATGTTCAGAGACCACTGCAGCTACAGCCAGAAACTGAGACATTAGTGTTAGATGGCAATAGTACTAATTTTCCTTTTTTCCCTTTGTTTTTTTTTTTTTTTTCCCTATAAGCATTGTTTGCTAAATCTTGACTTTAATATTCTACTTGTGTTTTGTTCCTTTCATAAACATTACAACTTGGAAGCATGCAGAAGCAAAAAGATACCAAAATTATTTTAAATACGTACTTTCCAAGTTTCTGTAATTTAAAATGCATTTGTAATGTTTAAATATGTTTTAAGGGCAGCTGAAAACACGTTTAAAGAAAGCTTATTTTGTTGTTATTCAGTCTTACTTACCTTTTTTGAAAGCTTGTTTGAGTTATGGAGAACTGCAAATGCTACTTGCAATTAACTATAATCCCAGCATTAAGCAGATACTAAAAGTATACTGGAAAAACACCTCATTACTTAATTTTTGTCTTCAAAGTGTGTTTATTGTTGTCTCCATTTACAATATTAACTTCCAACTTGAAGCAATTGACACATAATAACCATACTTTATTCCCCACAGCTTGATTTACAATTGTATTTCTGTAACAAACTATTTCAGATGTGGCAATGTGTTGTGGTTCAGGGTTGTTTCTTGCATGATAATGATCTGGGCAGAATTGCAATGATCTCAAAAGTAGTCTTTGGACATTTTTGTGATTTCACATAAGAATGAGAACTACTTACAAATGAGAAAAGTTTATCTTGAAAATTGACCACCCTGATTTCCTCCTCACTTGGGAGGAAAGAATACGAAAACAGCAAGTATGGTACTTTTGATTTATAGTTATAAATTGAAGTCATACATTAAGGTTTTCTATCATGGTCAGAGAATATTTTTTATATTAATATATAACCAATTAAAAGCTCAAAAGCTTTCTTTATTTGGTTGCTATGTCCCTACTGAATACAGAATATTCTAAACAGTATTTAAAATAGATTTTGCCTCTGTATTTTTTCGTGCAGGGAATTCGAGTCTTATAATCTGGTGCACAAATTGCAGGGGGCATGGAATGACATTGCTGAGTTTGTACCTGCCACTCGAAGTGCACTCGCTCGTGACAGCCTCAACTTCTTGGCTGACAAAGTTGCATCTAAGTAAGCTGGTAGAGTAGTGGAGTGGTGTAGGAGAGACACAAGAAGCTTTGAGGTCAGACTTGTGTACAAGGAATGTTCTGACAAGTACTTTAAAACTATTTTAAAAGCATCAAAGTGTGTGAAAATTGCCAAGTACATCAGTAGTAGAGAGGAAAAGAAGCCAAGGGCCACAGTGGGTTCCTCTGTGCTTGCCCTTATCAAGGTGAGAGCTCCTGTTACTACTGAGCTTTGTAGCCCAGCAGCCAGGGATCGGAAAGCTGTTGCTGTTGTTATGTCAGTAATGATTGCAATTTTGTTTAGTTAGTTTGGAAACACATTCTTCCTTGTCTCGCTTACATTCTACAGAAGTTGCAGCAAAAATATTTTATTGTCTCTTAGTGAATAAAACCTCACAATTCCCTGGCATAAAAGCAGGTTTGTTTCTGTCTCTGTAACCATTTCACACTGGTTTTTGTATTCTTATTAAAGTGAAACAGTCGCTAGGCAACTTTTGAAAGTTGTTGATTATATTCATCATTTTGTAGAGTGCATTTATGTTGTACCCAGGAAAACTTATGTTTTATGGTGTAGCCAGTGAAGAGTGGCAAGCTTTTAATTTAGTTTCTATCTCCCACTTTGCTTCACTGACCACAAAAGGCTCAGATTTCTAATTTAGGCACCTATGTGAATACTTGATTAAGTGCTTAATAAGTATTATTTTATTTTTACAACTCCATAAAAGAAATTAATTTTAGTCTTTATTTATATGTGGAACTGAGACAGTGAAAGATTAAGTCAAAACTATCTAATCATTTTGTGTGCCCAGGAAACTATATTAAGTGCCACTGAAAAGCTTTTTGCAACTTACTTGCCTAACATCAAGTGGGAGCTGTCACAAAGAGAATCCCGCTCCTGTGCTACCCTATAGATTACCTTCCTGGAGACAGTCCTTTCCCATCTGGCAGTCTACAGGCTTGGGCACTGCACCTGTTTCAGTTTCTCATGCAAATAAAGGAACTGTCTTGAAGATATCAGCCTTATTCATTATAAAAACCCAGGTTATCCCTGGAGTGGGTCTGCCCTGTGACCTGAAATGTCTAGGAGTTAAGATCTGTTTAATTTATTTAAGACTAAGAGCAAGTTAATGATTACTCCCCCATGAGCTTAGAAATTTTTGCTAATGATGTAATCAGTTGATCTTGGCAACAAAGTTGCAACATTATTTGATGTCTGGGAAGTTGTATTTTCACAAATTAAATCCAAATGTAAGTACTGGATCTTGGGAACAGATTGCTAAAGGCAAGGATAGACTTTCATCAGCAAAAGTTTCCAAATCAAGCTGATCTGTTTTTGTTGTTGAGTGCAGATATGGTGAAAAATGAAAAAAAAAAAAACCACCTCAAAACCTAAAGGTACTTCAACCTCACTTGTTCAGGGTATCAGGATGGATAATCACAATTTTATCTTTGGGTATTGTATGAATCTCTGGGGAATAAATAGCATGTAATTATGGAAATAAATTACTATCATAATATTATTCAGGAATTCATTAAGACTGCAGAAAACATTACTTCTATTTAAAAGCGGTGACTTTACAACCCTAATGTTATTTTAATATTTTTGCTGTATATTTTAAGTTTTTTAAAAAAATGAAATTTTCACCATTTGGTGTCATCTTGAATAAAACCTCTGTGGTTCAGCACAGGGGTTGAAATTTCGTGTTCATTACGCAGACCTGAAAACTGTATGAATATCAGTAGCAGAAGATTTTCATGCTATCTTTGGTGTCCACATCAAAAGGGAATCAGACATTTGCTGGTGAGCTATTTGGCATGTCTCTGGAATATTATGTTCAATTTTGGGATGTGGAGAAGTGTGACTCTATTGCTGCCTTTGCTCTGATGCCATCTGTGACGTCTCATAAAATAAAACGTAACAGTATCCGTATGATGTGTCCCCTCGTTATTGAGTCTAAAGGTATGGCAACAGGGGGATTAAGTGGATTTAGGGGGAAAACAAGCAAACAACCTCAGTCTATACACACGTGCACTGTCAGATGCCCTGCCCCAAATATTTATGTAACACTAAGTTAACAAAGGGTTGCTGTTCTGTCCTGGGAAGCAGTTTCCCTAGCAAAAAGCACAGGTGACTCAGTAATGTTTCTACACGTAAAAAGCTATGAACAGTTAGCATAGAGAAGTGCGAGAAAAACAATTCACTCTTGGGTTTGGGGATGTACGGGCAGGGTGGAGAGGTAGTTCATTGTTCGTTTTGGATTTTGGCTTTAGAATTCACTACTCAAAGCACATTAAACAAAGATAATACCCCACAACAATGCCAAAGGAGAAAAGAGTGTTTCACTTTCATCCAGTTAACGTTACTAATCATGTTGTGGAAACAGTGGCTGTGCTGGTGTGGGGTTTTGGGGGTTTGATTGATTTGTGTATGGGGTTTTTGTTTGCTGGGTTTTTTTTGAAGAAAAACTACAAACGTCAATACACCAAGAGCAAACTCAGTGGCAGACTTGAATATGAAACTCATATTTGTAATTTTTATTTCAAGTATCTCATATTATATCCAGGGTGTCATACCTTGCTCTGTGATTTCTCTAATTCTCTGTCTTCAAGTTTTAAAAACTTCTTCTAGGAATCAGTGTACAAAACTTAAATCTGTAGAAGTCATCTGCGAACAGAGGACAAAATTATCCCTTAAAGATTTCTTGACGCTCTTGTAAAAGTAATAAAAAAATAAATATTCCTGTAGATGAGATCAAGTTCTTTTTATGAATAGCAATGGGTAAGCAGCCTATAAAATGTTAGTGTGTTTTGTTATAAAAATCAATAGTGTTATGTTGCTGAAAGATTTAGTTTTCCTTGGAGATGGGAAAGGGTAAAAGGCAACAAACACAGCTTTTGGCATTATTCTTTGAATGTAATGATATTTACATTGTATTATACACCTAATTATGATGCATACATGGTGAGAATATATTTTTAGCACGCAAAGACAGGATTTTAACTTGAAAGTAAATGCCCTAGAAATCAGTAGAGAATTTAAGGGAGTAATATGATTAAAATGATGGGTCCGTTTATAAAATACTGGGATACATTTTGAGCACAGAAAGATATATTTTGAGCATGGAAAAGATGTGCATTCAGTTATATTAAAAACCTGTTACTAGATGTTCCTTACTTGGAGTATGTGAGTAGTTTTTTAGAAATTGGTGGCACCACATGCGTAACATAGGCAACTTGCTTAACAGAGGTGTGTGGCTGAGGGAAGCATGTAGATAACTGTACTGAATTTGGGAGTTTACTGATATCACTGATGGTGGAGTCAAGTTCATACAAGAGAGTACATAGTTCATACAGAGTACCATCAGCAGCATTATCATGTTTCGTTTATCCCACATGTCATTAATCTTGAGCTCTCAAGAGCACTGGTCATTTTGTAATGGTGAGTCTCAAAGATGAGCCTCAGCAAGGTGTTGCAGGTATCGTTTGAGGTAAGGGAAATACCCACTACAGCTTTTAATTGCTTTCAGATACTGTTTTTCTATTTTAGATGCATTACTGTGAGAGATTATTACAAAGGATGCTACAGAAATATTCTTTTGCTTTGAACATGTTTGATTTGATGATTATCCCCCTGTACTTGGCACCGGTGAGGCTGCACCTCGAATACTGGTTTCAGTTTTGGGTCCCTCACTATAAGACAGACATTGAGGTGCTGGAGCGTGTCCAGAGAAGGGCAACGAAACTGGTGAAGGGTCTGGAGAACAGGTCTTGTGAGGAGCAGCTGAGGGAACTGAGGTTGTTCAGTCTGGAGAAGAGGAGGCTGAGGGAAGACCTTATTGGTCTCTACAACTACCTGGAAGGAGGCAGTAGTGAAGTGGGCGTTGGTCTGTTCTCCCAAGTGACAAGTAATAGGATGAGAAGAAATGACCTCAAGTTGTGCCAGGGGAGGTTTAGATTGGATATTAGGAAAAATGTTTTCATGAAAGTGGTGTAACAGGCTGCCCAGGGAAGCAGTGGAGTCACCGTCCCTGGAGGTGTTCAAAAAACATGTTGTAGTGCTTCTAGACATAGTTTAGTGTGGGCATGGTGGTGTTGGGTTGATAGTTGGACTTGATGATCATAGAGGTCTTTTCCAACCTCATAGTTCTATGATTCTGTGGTTTGGTTTAAGGAGAGAGTAGAGTCTGCAAGCTGTAGTGTTACTACTGCTGTTCAATAGAGAGAATGAAGAAATAGTTCTTCAAGCAAAAGCCTACTGCTTCCTATTGCTATTCCACAGAGGACCAGGTCATGAAAGTACAGGAATGTGTCAAAACTGAGCTAAAATAGACCAAATCTGAATGTGTTGCTTTCTGACATTCAAATTTTTTCTGTTTAGTTGCTATTTTTCTTTCCTTTCGCAACCAGTTTTCTTACCAACTGTTGGTTATTTCCTCCCATTCCTCTTTGAAGTTCATAACATTTTCCTTTACCTAATCCTTTAATTCTTGCTTCTTTCATTCACATCATACATTTGGGTTGGATTTTCACACTTATCAAGCAGAGAAATGTTTCAGCAGCAGTGAGGTCCTTAGAGCTTGACTCAATTTCCTAATGAAGTTAAGGGTTTTGGTTTTTTAAATGTTCATGTGATAAAACCTGAACATGTTTTTGAAACATCTCGGTTTCTCTGAAATCTACTATGGTTTTCAGTCAGCTTGTGCAGCTTGTACATGACGTGAATTTTTCCAGGGGCCCTGGCTTTAGACTGCCCTGCTATGCCAAACACCCTTCCACAGCACTGCTGGCTGAGAGCTCCCCGCACCCAGCACACCCTGTTCCTCTCTTCTGTGCTTTGGAGGCTTGAGAACTCAAGTGAAGAGCAAAGCTTTCCAGATATTCTTTGCTGTGCAGGCAGAGGGCTGACAGCCATAACCAAAGCTGTCAGATTCTCACGTTTGTAGTATTTGGAAAAGTATTTGGAATTTGGGGGATTTTCTACAAAATAAGAATTTTAAGTTTTAGCCAGCTCCATGCTTAACTCACCTTGGAGTTCTCAAAGAAAACCCAGTTACGTTTCCCACAGACATCTTCTATCTGTCCGTGGATGTTTCCATATTTTACAGCTATGAAAAAAATTTAGTTCTGACTCTTTTAACTTGAAAAGAAATGTCATCCTACTATTCCAAGCATTGCCCTGTATTTACATCACCCTAGAATGAGCATACATTCAAGTAATGTTAATACTTGTCTCTGAATAAATCATTAATTTGGATGGAGAATTCTTCACCTGAATTAAGTCAGGTGAAGGATTAATTTTTCCCTTAAACAAGTTAGGTTCTCTGGTATATATGTGATGATTTTTTGGGAGGAAGTGCAGGGTTTTTTCTGTGCTTCACTAAGAGTTGAAAGATTGTATGTGTCCTTTTGTTCATTTGGTTGAGTATCTGGCCAACACTCGTTCTTTTCCTCTCTGGTTAAAGCATGAAAACTTCCACTTTTGTTCAATTAATAAATTTCCTTTCATTCAGTCTTGAGCCTCCTTACTTCAGAGATAATTTTTTTTAATGCTGAGAATTTCTTTTTAATCCTTTGTTGTAAAAGGTAATCAAAGTATTTTCCCAAAATGAGGTTTTGTAATGTACTTGCTGTATCCATGAAGTTGAGGATGGAATAGTATTGTAAAACTGTCCTTTTACAGGAAACTAAACCCATTTTCGTTCAGTTTTACTTAAATAATATCACTAAGCTATATGTTTCTTTACTACTATTCTTTACTACAATACTATTATAAATTTATAATTTAGTTTTAACATTTATAATTATTGTTTAGAATATCATTGTTCTGTAACTACAGGAAACGGAACTGAGTCTGTATCTTAACTTTCCCTAAATTTTCTTCCAAATTTCACAAAGACTTAGCTTCAGTTCTTTCAGGTGTTTTGTTTATGCCAAAGGAAATTATACTGTCTCCACTGTGTCTCTATGTACAGTAGTGTGACTGAAGCGTATTGATAAAGACAAAGTGAATTTCAAAGATCGTACAACTTCTTTTTGCTGCTGCTTCTTCTGAAGACAGCTCCCGTGGCCAAAGCTTTTTTTTTATTTTTTATTTTTTTAAACTTAATTAGTTGGCCCATTGAAATATATTATCTGTTCTATCAACCTGCCCTGGTAATTTTTGAGAAATACTTGGAGCTGAACAAATTTGGCTCTTAAGGAAGACCGTCGCAAAACTTTTATTGAGTACTTCTGAAGACTTCTTTCACCATATGTTCAAAGGCAGTGTTTAGAATGGATTTGGGGGCATTTTTTCTTACCTTTCTTCATGCTTATTACTTTGGTGTCCTGTGAAGCCCTGCCTTTGAGAAAAGTGGTTGAAACTGACAACACTCCTGGTGTTTTCATTGCAATGTGAGCTGAAACAGAAAGTAGCTTACAGAGGTTGATATCCAATACATGAAGAGAAGTGACTTGCAGAACAGAGCATTTTGGAGTTCAACTGGTATGACAGTGCTACCTGTTTTACAGAAAAATGAGCCATTTTGGTCATTTTCACAGTTCGGGTTAAAGGAAAACAATGTTCTTGATGAAAAGCAGACATCTGGAAATAATACTTGAGTTCATGAGATTAATAATGTGAAAACCTTGTTTAATTTATGCAGATATTTCCACCCTTTTCTGAAAAATAGTTTTGTAAGGGGCTTTTTTACTGTAAATTTGTATAATTTTTTAGCCAGATATTCACTCCCTGTTTAAAAAAAAAAAAAAATCTCCTGTTAGAGATGTGGATCTAAATTATACTTTTAAATCTTATTAAACCGTTTGTTAACCTTAACAAACATGTGGCTTTGAAAATTGTATAAGCTCAATTTTTTATGAAAACCTGCCTTTCTGAGTCTGCATCCAAATCTTGGTCAGAAAAGGGAGATTTTGCAGCAGTAGTACATAATTCACAAGCTCCTGTAAATTGATTTTTCAGCCTTACAATGATGGATTTTGGCCCGATGTTTGCATTATCCACAAAGCATGTATTACTGTACCACATTTATCTAAATGCAGGCTGTAATTAAAAGATATTGTTCTGCTGGAGACTAAATGGAATGCATTCTAATAATCTGGGAAACTAATGACAGACTGCCCTGTTCTCTGTTGACTGTGTTTATGCATTCAGCAAAGGTTACTGGATCACATACCAGTGGAAACCCTCCAAATATCTAACACCTATTTGTTTTGTATCTTAGCCTTTACCTGACTGGTAAAGCACAAGTCAGGGTACGAAGTTTGGAGAGTCACAGAAAATCACTGTGACTTAGAGAATCGGTTTTCATCAATCATTTAATCAAATTGTGTAGAAAATATCATGCCCTCCTATATCCAGCTCCCTTTGCCCCCAATACTTCTAGCAAATTAAACAAAACAACACCAAAACAATCAGCAAAAACCTGCATTGAGTTTTGATCAAATTATGCCAAGCATCACAAAATTAAGACATGACCAAACAGAAATTGCTTTTGAAATACGGAGCATTACCTTGCTTGCTCACTAAAATCTGTATTTTCAAAGGATCAAATTCTTTATTCCCTGCATGAAGTTCGGTGATTCCTAGAACAAGACTAGGAGAACAGGCAGCTGTTCAATAGGATTTTTGTCCTCATTTAGTCTATGCTTCCCTTTGTTGTTTGTGTCTTCTGTTCAGCTCAGAAGACAGAACTGTTAATTTCCTTGTAAACAGATTCCTTAATTACAGATTTGAGAATGACAAGATTCAGAATAACTTACTACAAGGTATCCTAAATTAAAGTGCATATATATATATATGTATATATCTGTATAAATACAAACACATGCAGCCAGAAATATTTTGGTCCAGTGAAGTATACAGACACCCACACTGGTGAAGGCAAGTGTGTATATTCAAACACATAGATAGGTGGAGAGGTGGATGGAAGAGTCTAGCCTATGTTTAAAATTTCCCTCTTCTCAAGTTCAGAGAAACTATTCACGATGCATCAACATTCCTTGACGAGTGATAACTGAGCCTTGGGAAGGTTGATTTCTGGCCAGTCGTCAGCTTTGTCAGCAGATGGTCTTTGAACCTTAAGAATTCTGTGCCTGAGAGGCTCCCAGCTCAGGAGGAGGTGCTGGTCGCATCCTACTGTGACCCAGGAGAGATCAAAGAGGGCTCCGTTAGGCTGTCATATTTATGGGGTAAAATGGTTGGCTCATGATCGGATCGCATGTGATGGAAGAGTAAGCATGAGGCTCCTTGTACCCGCAACTTACTTTCTTCCTTGACAGGTGAGTTTTGGAAAAGCCACCTGTTATTGATGTTCCAGACAGATGAGTTGATGTGTACTGTGTTGCTCTGCTCCATTGTGGGTGTTCACAAGAGACTGGAACTGAAGGAACTCTTGGCCTGGTTAAGGCTCAAGCCTTTGCCTTCTCCAGCACCTCCTTTGCCTGCACCAAAGAACCACCAGTCTGGTCAAGGGTTCGAGTGCACCTGTAACACTATAGGACTGCAAGATGATTCACTTTGGACATCGTTCTTTCTATATTTGGCCGTGATTTTGTCAGGTACTTCTGGCTTGTTCCAGAGCCAGCTACAATCCAGGCAGCAGGAGTTTCCCATGCACTAAGAGGTTCAGGTCCAGTCAGGGAACACTCAATCACCCCAACTCACTGCACTGTGACCAGGACAGGAAAACACCAGGTGTCCAAACTCACTGCCTTTGTTGGTTGGTCTTGACATCGCAATGTGGCCCAGAGGGTCTGCACCACCACAGTGATACATCAAAAGTAAAAGAACATTTTAAAATTCTTAGAAATCTGAGAAATTGAAAGGGTCCATGTCAATTGTTGTTTCAGTGTTCATATTTACAGGAAATTGACAGATGTGTGTAATCTTGCTGATAGAGGATGGGTATCTTCTTCCCCAGAACAACCACTCTGGGTTGGACATTTATATGTTAATAACTGAGTAACAGATAGGTCATGCAAATAGGTTGCCCCCTTACCTAGCAGCAGTTATTCCATGATTTCAACATATCTGTTGTGGACAAAGAGGTCTCAATGCTACTGCTTTGGTATTCTTGTGAAACTTTGTGAATCAGCTGTTCCTTTGGTCACTATCAAAGAGAAATTTAAACCAAAGTTCAGTGTCACCTAGACACTCAGCAGACTTCGCTACCTAATGTTTTCCTTTAGAACCGAACATTTATAGCATGTGAGATAGATTTAATACAATAATTTTCTCTTTCTTTTTCTTTCCCTTAGGCATTTCCTGGAAATACAAACTCTGATAGTGTGGTCCGGCATGATTTACAACATCTAGTTATTGCTCGCTATGTACGGATAGTTCCTTTGGACTGGAATGGAGAGGGCCAAATTGGGTTAAGAATTGAAGTCTATGGCTGCTCCTATTGTAAGTTTTTCCATGGTCATCCTTTTTTTTCCTGCTAAATAAAAAGTGGGTTTGGATCTCAGATTAAATCTGAATCTTGGGTACTTTTTGCTTAGATAGATTAAGATGTTCCAGGATTGCTGGTTATATTGCCCAGGGCATCATGAAATATTTGTTGTAACCTTAGCTCTGAGTTGCTAGTTTGTTCTTGTCTGGAAGGTGCAACATTGGTATTCCAGACAGTGCTTTGCTCCTTTTAATCTTCATGGTTTCTTTTGCAGAAGACTTTGGCTATTATATAAGTTTGAAGGGGCCATTTGAGGAAAAGATAGTATTCAGACAAATGTTATGTTGGGTCTTGAGGGGAACAACTGGGAAACAAGTCATAATTTGTTGCCTGGAGCCAGAAATAAAATTAAAGCCAAATACATAAGAATTCTATGAGTAGCTCAGACAGTCTAAACACATGACATGTTTTTTGGAGGTTTTTCCTTTAGTATTTGAATATGTCTTTAGAATCTCTTTTGAAATACGAATGAGCAACAGTACAAATGCCTCTGAAATTAAGAGCAGAACTGATTACGTTTCAAGAAAAGAAAGGGTAGGTTCTAAATGTCCTTCCTTGAATTCAATCCAGCCAATGCTTAAAGAAAGTCTACAAACCTGCAGAAAATAGGTGCCTGGTGTCCTATTTCGAAGTATATATATATATTTTTTTTTTTTTTTTCAGTATCCTGGCTTTGTTGGTATTTTAGCTGGAAGGAAGTATCTGAGATTTGTCTTTTAATAACCAGGTGTTAGAATAAGGTGAGGACCGCACAGCTGGAAGTTTCATGCATTGACATCACTGGGTGGCTTAAGGCATATGTGAGCCCTTTGCCATCCTAACTAGTAAAAAAGAAAAACAACTTGTGATTTCAGTTGTTGTTTTGATTTGGATAGTCAAAAGGCTATATACTTTCTTCTAGCACCGATAGGAACCACAAAGAATAGAGTTTTGGTATTATTTTTTCTTATTTCCGTGCCATGAATTAAAGCTCTGTTTAAAAAACATATGTTGAACCACACAGAATTTCCCAGCAGCTGCACTAACTTAGCTGAGAAATCAAATTGAAGTTGCTGTCGTGTTGCTGCTGCTGTACAGAGGGCACATATGGGTGTTAGATACCTTTGTGAAAAGACAACAGCATATCTGTTGTCTGAGGAACTTGGGTTATTCTAAACTTGATTCTTACTCAAAGAGAAACTGAGCTTCTGAAGTTTTAGCTACCACTGGGATTATTCAGTACATGGCTCTTGATAAACAAGTGTTTACCGTCATACTGCTAAAATGTTTTACCAAACACTACAGCATGGTTAATTTTACAGCACGATAAATGCTTTTAATCACACCTCCTTACTCGTACATCAAATGCAAATTCAGGTGCTTGATACAAGAAACCAACATATAGTTTACTGTGAAGTATGACTCTCTGAAACAGGAAAAATATAGCAGAATCAAATAAATATGGTCTTTACTGCAATACTTACATATAAAAATAGTATTTTTTTTTAGGAATTGGATAGAAAAAATACTGTAGGTACATGACAGGATGTTTTTAGAGGCTTAAAGTAAATGTGAGACAAAGTAAAACACATCTTGGTGACAAAACGATTTCATTTGTTTGATGAAAAGTTGCTTACTTGCTGGATTTTTGGAGGAGAATAAAAAGCATCTGCCAAGGAAGCAGTACTATGAAAACACTGATAAAATGTGTCTTCACAGAACGGAGGTGGCCAAACATAGCTTCGTAATTTTACTGAGAGAGTATTGCTGGTCTGTTTGTATTAGAAGTGATTTCAATAATTGTTGGAGGTGTTTTTTTTTATGTAAGATTAATAATATTTTACATTATTGTGTGTATAGGGACTTTTCTTTCAAAAATCCTCCTAAAATGCATTGTGGTTTTTACATGCAGGAGTCGGGCTGTCCCTAAAATGTTATTGGTAGATAGTAGAGCAGTTGGGAAGAAAAAGTAAAAAATCACTGTATTAAGAGAGAGGGAGGGAGTCCTTTGGTCTGACTACTGGAACAAGAGAGCAATGGGTGCAAATTCCCAACGTGTCTTCAAATGCATCATTTGGAGCCAAGCGTATAATGCTACATCGCTCCATGTAGGCATGTCTTTTGGCAGAGGCAGTGTGTTTAACCTTATGATTAGCAGTGTTTATATTTGCATATCAATATAAGCACTGTCATTACCCAGTGTGATTTGCAGATTAATCCTGCTGTCAATGAAGGACTTGGCCATTTAGATAATCAGTAATTTTCAAAGCCTGATTAAAAGATAGGCTTCTTGTCAAATCTGCCCCAAATTTTGGAAACATTACCTAAATAAGAAAGCTATGCAATATATCACAATCATAATTTTTCTTTAAGTTTGTAGATACATATTGAATTATTTTGCTTAGGCATTTTAGAGAGCACATTTTCAGACAGAAAAATCAGGTATTTTCTTACAGTGCAAGCAAAGTTTGATTGGGAAGCCACACACTTAAGCGACTACAAGAACTCTCCTTGCACACTGCTTCAACCTGGTCATTAGTTTCAGAGAACTAAGGAAAATACATCCTTATATTGAATTGCTTATTCAAAAGTCAGGTCATTAATTGCCGTATTTTCTGGTTCTTTCTTTATGTATTTATACAAGATACACATTTAATTTTTTTTTTGTGCCAGAGGTGAAATCTGTGTTATTGCTTGCCCAGCAAATAAAAGATTAAAAAGAGGTGTGATTTCCAGAGAGGGATTAGAGCTCACATCTGTTCCCCAAAGAAGTTCATAGCATTACCAAATCTTTTTGTTTTAACTTTGAATTCTTTCTTTGCAACCGCACCTTTGTATTTTGTGTAGATGAGATCCGTGGGGATGTCTTCTGACAGAAGAGCTCATAGAAGTCACCAAGAAAGAATTAGGGCCTCACTCTACATCCAGGTTCAGAATGAACTTTGTATTTTTACCTGTGAATAAATGGTGACATCAAATTTAGAAAAGATTTTCATTCTCCACAGGGCAAAACTACGTCTTATTAAAAAAAAAAAAAATAATAAAATTGGGTAAATAACTTATTTAATAGCTATGGTAATGGAGGAGTTGCATGAGAAAAACAAGCCTGGAAAACAACAACAAATAGACTGTTGTGTGGCTTAACACATTTTAGTCACTGGGAGGTTTAGCTTTTACTTTAATATGATCTATTTCAAGCACTGTAAAGGGGAAAATGGTCTTTATACTTGCAGTGACATCATTTATCAAAAAGCAAGTCACAGAGAAGAAAGCAATATAACTAAAAGTAAAATGTCCACAAAATCAGTTAAGTCAAAACTGATGGCAGATTTTTATTCACATGACACCTATCTTCCCTCATGTCCACATCTCTGAATTTTTGAGATGGGCAGCAAAGATGTGGCATCTGGAGGCTGTGACAACTATAATATAATACATTTTACTGCTGATTCGTGAAGATCACAATAAGCTCCTGCAGGATTATTGCCATATGAATAGTTCCCTTCATCTCTGTCCTGTGGCAGATGAATGCCTACAAAAATGGCAATAGTGATACTCTTGCATAGTCTTTGGCTGTGCTTTTCAGGATAACTGTATGAGGCCTTCTGGGTGCTGAAATCTGTGACTGGAAAGCGCTAACCCATACGTTGTTCACAGAGGTCTTCTAATATGTTTGTGTTGATTTTCTGCATCTAAACTGTACGTCTGAATCTGTTTGACACTCTTGTACATCTTATGGGAAGAATTTTCGAATTCCAGATGATTCACTTCTGAAGTGTAGGATACATGTGGAAAAAAATCACTTGGAGATGGCAGAAAGTCATGTAAATACTCGATATACTCAAGGCAAATAGGCGACAGGACCCATGAGAAAGCTCCATAAATGGCTGCAGACTGAGCTGTTTCCATTCATTGACCAGCTCTCTTTGCTAGTACTTAGGAAGCAGTGGGACTGAGAAAATGTCACTGAGCTGGGTTTGCAGAGCTGTTCATTTCAGTTATTACCTGTACTGCTTGTACTGTGCTGTGTCAAATGTTACTGTTTCAGCTTCCTGATGGGAGATTGATTTTTTAAAGGAGGGATAGAAAAGAAGAAAAAACAGTAGCCACAGTCCTTAGGGTTTTATGGAATAATGAACGTTTGTATGGAAAACATTTACTCTCCAGATAGTAAAGTGAACAAAACCTTGGTCATGTAAACATGTTACAAGAACAAAAATAAGGTTTGGAGATGCTGTTAAGGGAGGAGCCAACGGAACATTTGCAGGAACTGAATAGGAAGTATGGAAATGATAGAAACTATGGGCTGAACAGATCTTTTGGGTAACCACAGCTGTAGTTGATCTTGTCTGCCTGCAGTGACTGTGACTTAAGCTATTATTTCCTTTGGCAGCTGGTTCCATATTCAGCTGTACTCAGTGTTAGGAAATTTTCTGTGATATTTATTTGAAATCTCCTTTGCTTGGTTTCATGCTGTTGGCACTATCTATCCATCGCTCATTTGCTGTCTCACACGGTTGACGTGCATACTTAATGAGAGACCTCCATCCTGCCCGGAAGCATCTATTGCATCCAGACATCAAAGGGACTGTTTAAGGTAGATGAGAAATAGGTGGAATCTGGTGGAGCTTCACTTGGCCTGATTCAATAGCATACCCTGAATGTGTTGTTTCACCAGCATAGCATTTAAAAAAAAAAAAAAAAAAAAAAGAACCAAAGACCCTTAAGTGTCATTATTGCTATTGGAACACCCTGTGTTGAATAAAATACAGCTCTAGATGTATATGTAAACATATGCAGACATATTTCTGCTATTACGCTTTTGGTACCTGTGTGAATGTTCACCTAAATGCTGAAGATACTAATGTAGTCCAGTAATCTGCATAAAGGATTCCCTGCCTCTCTTTATTGTATTTTATCACTTATATTAAATGTGCCATTAAGTTGTCTGGTCAGACTTCTCTGAATATTTAAG